AAATGTTGGTTCGTGTTCCACGTTTTGGGCCCCTCCTGTGGCCGCCTTCGGGTCTTTTTGGCCGATCTTGGACGCCTCTTGGGCCGTTTTGGGGCCCTCTTGCACCGTCTTGGGGCCCTCTTGGAGGCCTCTTGGGTCGTCTTGGGGCGGTCTTGCGTGCTTCTGGGGCCATCTTGGAGCGTCGGACGCCCGACCACGCGAAAACGCGAACACCATCGATAAACACAAGGCGCATCTATGATTTTTGCCTCATTGGGCTCTCTTGGGAGTCCTCTTGGGGCGCTCTTGGGGCTTCTTTGGGGCCTCCTGGGCCGTCTTGGGGCCACCTAGGGCGACTTGGAGCGAAGTTGGGCTGTCTTTGAGGCCTTTTGGACCCTCTTGGGCGCTTTGTGGGGCCCTCTTGGCCCGTCTTGGGGCCCCCTGGCCTCTAGGAAAGGCATGCGGGGCAGCCCGAGAACTTGCGGGAACTCGCCAGCCTCTAGAATACTATAATCGCAGAGTCTTGGTACAGAGAGGAGAGGACATTTCAGAGCAGCACGGTGGCGGATTCGTTGGCTCTATATTCTGCAGAATGGTAGTTTTGGATAAACGAGTGCGCGCGCATAGTTCTATGTGACGGGATAAACGGGGTGGTCGATAGCGGCCCTCCTGGTATGGTATGAATGAATTCCTATGGAAAATGCACACTGGGGCAGAGACGTATGTAATTTGCAGTGTCCCTTGGGGGGTGGCGCTAAGTTCGGCTCCAAGGGGTCGGATCTATTATTGTCAGTATCTCATTATTATTATTGTTATTCGTATTATTATTATTATCATTATTATTCAAGAAAGTCCCTTGCTCGCGCAATCATCCCACCCACCCACCCGCAACTTGGTGTGCTGAACCCATGTGTATGCGCTGCAGCCTGTGCAGTGCAATCTATGCGAGGCTGCGATGGGGCGGCGACAACGACGACGGGACGGGGCGGCGACGGCGAGCACGGAACCGCCAGACCGCCAGCCAGGCCCAGACGACGGGCGGCGACCAGGCGGCGACGGGGCGGCGACGGCGACACCATCGCTGCCAGACTGGCCCGCAGGCCAGGTGCCTTAGGGAAGAAGTTAGTAGAACCCTTGAGTACAAACGCTGTTTGGGGAAGATAACTTTCCCTGAGGGGATGGGTCGACCTGTGACTGACTCTTGGGGCCACTTCGGCAGTCCTCTTGGAGCATTCGTGGGCCCTTGTCGGGGGCCTCGTGGGTCACCTTCAAGCTAGTTGGGACCGTCGTGAGGCTACCCTGAGCTGGCTCGACGCTCTCTTGGACTATCTTGGCGCTCTGATTGGGCCATCTTGGGCCGTCTGTGGCCTCCAGAAGCCCTGGGAGCAGCCTTGGCGCGCTCATAGGCCCCCCCCAGTAATCTTGTCAAACTGCATTTTGGACCGGAAAGGGTGAGGGGCCTCGTCCCTCCCGGCAAGCGGGGTCGGCGGATCTCCTCCCCAGATTTCGTTTCCCCACCCCTGTTTCGTCGACGATGCGGCCCGATCTTCCGACCCGATCTATTCGGATCATAGTTGGGCGGCCTCCGTGAGAACAGGACCAGGACCAGGATGATGACGCGGAGGCGGAGGAGGGAAGCATGGACCGGGAGTCTGAGGGAAGGCGTGCAACAGGTAGTATATTTGCTTCGGACATTGCACGGGGGGTGGGGGCGAATGGTGGCGATGATGGCGGCGATGGTGATGATGATGATGATGCTGGTGATGATGGTGCTGATGATGATGATGATGATGATGATGATGATGATGATGATGATGATGCAACTGATGTTGAGGATGATGACGATGACGACGATGATGATGATAATGATGCTGATGCTGAGGATGATGATGATGACGACGATGCTGATGATGCATCTGATGATGATGATGAACATGATGATGATGATGATGACGATGATGACGATGATGCTGACGATAATGATGATGATGCTGACGATGATAATGCTGATGATGATGATGATGATGATGATGATGATGATGATGATGATGATGATGGTGTTGGGGGTGATGGTTATGATGATGACGATGACGACGAGGATGCGGATGAGGACGCGAATGATGATGACGAAGATGTTGATGGTGGTGATGGTGACCAGTCGTGGTGATGGTGATGGTGATGGTGATGATGACGGTGACTAGGACGATGACGATGGCGATTTCGATGACGATGACGATGATGATAATTATGATGATGATGGCGATAACGATGATGATGATGATGATGATGATGATGATGATGATGATGATGATGATGACGATGATGATAACGACGATGATGATGATGATGATGATGATGATGATGATGATGATGATGATGATGATGATGATGATGATGATGGCGATGCTGCTAATGTGATGATGCTGATGATGATGACGACGACGGCGATGGCGATGACGATGATGCTAATGATACTGCTGATGATGATGACGACGATGTTGTGATGATGGTGCTGAGAGGATATTGTTGTTGATGATTCTGATGATGACGTGGTTTCTGTTGTGGTGGCATGCCGATTATGATTGCGATGCTGATGTTGACGATGATTATGGCGATGCTTGTGATGATGATGATGATGATGATGATGGTGGTGATGATGATGATGATGATGATGATGATGATGGTGGTGGTGGTGGTGATGATCATGCTGACGACGATGATGACGAATCAGATGATAATGAAGATACTCATGATGATGCTGCGGCTGCTGATGATACGGATGCTGATGGGAGGATGATGCTGTTGATCATGATGACGACGTGGTGGTTGTGGTGGCGGCAATGGGATTGTTCTTCAAATAGGCTTGCCCTATAGGAGCCCTAGATCATCATAAGTAAATGGTCTTTAGGATCCCCACGCTTTTTCCTATGGCCACCTCCCTTATTTCCAACGGCACCCCCCCTCCCCCCTTTTGCCAATGCCCCCTCTTTTTCCAATGGCACCCCGAGCTATTTCCAATGGCGAGTCCTATGGATTCCTATGTACTCCTCCTCATCAGCATCACACACTCACTTGCACTTGCTTGCTTGCTCTTGCGTGCTTGCTCTCGCTTGCTTGCTCTTGCTTGCCCTTGCTTGCTTGCATTTGATCGCTGGCTCTTGCTTGCTTGTTATTGCGCGCTTGCGCTTGCATGGTTCCGCTTGCTTGCTCCTCTCGTCCTCCTCTCGTCCTCTCGTCCTCCTCCTCTCCTCCTATGTAATTGGAGTCAACGCCGGCTGATGTAATGATGATTGTGATTGGTGATGATGGTGATGATGATGATTGTGGTGGTTTTAGTGATGATGATGGTGATGCTTGCGATGCTGCTGATGACGATGCTGATGATCATGCTGCTGCTGATGACAACGATGATTATGACGATGACGATGACGATGACGACGATGATACTGACGATTATGATGGTGATGATGATGACGATGGTGTTGGGGGAGGTTATGATGACGAGGGGATGGTGGGAGGATAGTGCTGTTGATGATAATGATGATGACGACTTGTTGGTTGTGGCGGTGGCAATGCTGATACTGATTATGATAACGATGATGATGATGCTGATTATGGCGTTGCTGATTATAGCGATGCTGATGATGCTGCTGCTAATGATGCTGATGACGATGATGCTGATTACGATGATGATACGGCTGCTGATGCTGATGGTGCTGATGGTGATGCTGATGCGGATGCTGATGATGATGCTGATAAGAGAATGAAACTGCTGCTGGTGATGATGATGCCGATGATGATGGTGCTGGTGACCTGCGATGGTGATGCTGATGGTAAGGGTGATGACGATGACGATGATGCTGATGATGCTGATGATGCTTATGATGTGATGCGGATGCTGATGATGCTGTTGATGATGATGGTGATGATGGTGGTGATGGTGATGATGACGATTATGAGAGGGTGATGCTGATGATGATGACGACGTGGTGGTTGTCGTAGTGGCAATGCTGATGGTGATGACGATGATGATGATGATGGTGGTGGTGGTGATGCTGATGCTGATGATGATGCTGACGATGATGATGCTGCTGATGATGATGATGCTGATGATGATGATGAGGGCGATGACGATGATGGCGATGCTGATGATGGTGGGTTATGGCAGTGATGATAATGATACTGCTGCTAATGATGATGATGCTGCTAATGCTGATGATGATGCTGATGATGCTGATGCTGATGATGCTGATGCTGATGATGATGCTGATGATGACGACGATGCTGCTGATGATGATGATGAGGCTGATGGTGATGCCGCTGCTGATGATGCTGATGATTATGATGATGATGCTGGTAATGATGATTATGATGATGCTGATGATGCTGATGATTGATCTGATGATGCTGCTGCTGAATCTGATACTGGTGCTTTCGCCGCTGCTGCTGCCGCTGTTGCTGCTGTTGTTGTTGTTGTTGTTGCGGCTGCTGTTGTTGTGGCTTTTGATTGTTGGTTGCTTCTTGCTCGTTGTTGTTGATGATGACGCTGATGATGTTCAGCGTGACGACGATGAGGATAGGCAGTCTTATGTTGACATGAGGAGGACTTGTGCTTGCCCAGTCTGAACGAGGAGGGGGATGAGGAGGTCTTCCTCTCCCTCTTCCCCCTCATCCTCCTCCTCCACAGGAGGCGGATCAGGAGCGATGGGGAGTACGAAAGATGCCAGCGTCGCGCGCATCTTTCCGATCGCGGCATCCTTCTCCTACCTCCCTGTCCCATTGCTTTTTTTCCCTGATCCTGGAGCTTTCCCTTACTCATTCCTAGCACTCCGTCTCCATGTTCGGATCGATAAGGAGTACGGGAGAGGAGGATGGGGGGCAGATCAGGAGGAGGAGGAGGAGGAGGAGGAGGAGGAGGAGCCGGGAAGGATGCGAATGACGAGGAGGGGGAGGAGGAGGGCGATGAGGACGAGGAGGAGGGGGACGAGGAGGGGAGTTTGCATCGGCCGCCATCTTGTCGCAGCGGGCTGCCTCGATAGCGCCGCCATGGTGTTTCCGCGGCCGCCAGCGCCTCTGTTCCAAGGCAAACGGCGCTCTCCTTTGCTGTCTCTCCGCGTCTCCGCCTCATGCGACTCTTCCAGTCTCCTTCTGCTTCTGGCTCTCGGGCACGGGCGCGGCAGTCTTCAGTTTCCGAAGTGCAGTTTCGTGCTGTCGACCAGCGATATCCTTGCAGAGTTTGCTTCTGCTTCTGCACTTCCTCGTGGCCCTCCTTCTCGCCGCTCTTCCTGCTTTTTCTGCTTCTCCTGCTGTTGCACGCGCCTCTAATTGGCCTCGACAGAGTACGGATCACAGTGACGAGCTGTTTTGCCAGACCGCGCTGGGCGTAGCCGCCTATGGGGAGCGAGGCCTGGTGCTTAAGCATGTCGCAGTGGTGTCATCAGCTCGAGCCCGAGCTGTGGAGACTCGGACTTCTTACCTTCATCGAATCGCTCCTGATTGATTTGAGCAGCCGCCCTTCATAGCTCCAGTTCGGCTGCGTGTGGTGCAAGGCTCCGCCTCCTCCTGGACACCCTGAGAGCTATCGAACACAGCTTTGATATTGCGAAGGCCTCCCGGCCGATGCCGCCAACCCTGAATGGTGACGACGACGACGACGACGACGACGACGACGACGACGACGACGACGACGACGACGACGACGACGACGACGACGACGACGACGACGACGGACGACGACGACGACGACGACGACGACGACGACGACGACGACGACGACGACGACGACGACGACGTCGACGACGACGACGACGACGACGACGACGACGACGACGACGACGACGACGGACGACGACGACGACGACGACGACGACGACGACGACGACGACGACGACGACGACGACGACGAGCGCTCTCGGGGGCCTCTTAGGGGTAGTTTTGGGGCCTCTTGGGAGGCGCTTGGGGGCTGCTTGGGAGCCTCGTGGGGGTCTCTTGGGGCTTCCTGGGGTTCTCTTGGGGGCCTCTTGGGGCCTCTTGGGGGGCTTCTTAGGGGCCTCTGGAGGCCTCCTGGGAGCTTCTCAGGCCGAGGGCTCAAAACGACCGTTCGGGCCCTCTGTCTGGGCTCCCTCTTGGAGTCGTCTTGGGGTCTTCGGCTGTCTTGCAGGCCCAAGAGGCCCTCTTGGGTCGTTTCGGGGCCCTCCTGGAGGCCTCTTGGACCATCTTGGGGCGGTCTTGGGGGCATTTTTGCCTGTCTTGGAGCGTCGGGAAGCTGACAAGGCGAGAATGCCGAAATCTTTCAAAACCTCCTGGGCAATCTATGATTTTTGCCCCTTGGGGTCCTCTTGGAAGTCCTCGTGGTGGCCTCTTGGGGCGTTTTGGAAACTTTTTGAGCCGCCTGGAGGCTACTTTGGCGACTTGGACCGATACTTCGGCGATTCGGGGTCCTCGAGGACCGTCTTGGGGGCATCTTGCGGCACTTTTGTCGCGTCTTGGGTCTCTTCAGGGCCCCCGAGACGCCTGAGGGGGCGTCGTATTTGGGTGGCGACCCCCCTCGGGACCCCCCCCCCCAGGACCCCCCCCCCCTCGGCGGGGAAGGGATCAAAGGGAAGGGGCTTCCCTTCGACTCAACGACAACGTTGCTCACTTTCGCTGTGGATGGCACGCTCGAGGAGGAGGGTCCAGCGAAAGTGGGGGGAGAGGCAACGGGCCGATGGAAAGGGGAAGGGAGCCGCGAAGGCGACGACGACGACGACGACGACGACCACGACCACGACGACGACGACGACGACGACGACGACGACGACGACGACGACGACGACGACGACGACGACCACGACGACGAGTTCAACGGAGCAGCCTCTTCCACACGCCGACATGGTCAGCGGATCGAGTGTGGCCACACGGAGTCTCCGCCATGCCACGCGCTGGACTGTCGAGGTTGTTGCCTCCGTGTGTTCGGGACGAGGTGGGACGGCCAACGAGAGAGAGAGAGAGAGCACTGGCGGAGAGGAAGCGGAGAAGGAGGAGGAGGAGGAGGAGGAGGAGGAGGAGGAGGTGGAGATCCGCCAGCGGCTCATTGGCCCCTGCAGGCCTGTGGTGCTGACCGTCCCTTTCCAGTTGCGCCGCCTTCGCCTGTGCCATCCTCGCTTTTGAAGTCCCCTTCTCCCACCCGTCTCCCACTACCTCCCCTCCATCTTCCCTGTCCCATCTACCACTTTACAGTCAACCCGCACAGTAAGGATTGGCAACCTTCCCAAGGGTACCCTTGCATCCTTGCCTCCTCGGTCCATCCTTGGCCACTTTCGTTGGCCGCGCCCCGCTCGAAAAGCTTAGAAGTGGGCGTCCAAGGCCCTTGCATCCTTATTGCGCATCCTCTTGATACGGGTCGACTGCAACATCTTCCCTCCTCCCGACTCTCTGACCATCTGGGCACCTGCCCTGCAGCAGTTGGTGCCACATGACAGCTCTTCCTGCCCTCCCAGAAGTTGCGATGTGTTGCGCGCCTTCTCGTCCGTTCGGGTGCTGCCGGCAGAATCCGTCCCCCCCTCCTGCCCCCCCCCCGGAGGCCTTGGGCCTTGTGCTGGCGGCTGGTGAACCCGAGGCTCGCCTGCGGAGCCCGGCTCCCCCTGGCCAGGCGCCAGAGCTCCGACGATATAGTCTGGGGACGATTCTTTGATCATTTTTTTTGTCCATTCTGGAGCATGTCTGGAGTATCTTGTGTTTCTCGTCCAACGTCCTCGTGCAGGGGCACATGCCGGACCGAACGCTGGCAGGCTTTTCCCTTCCCGTGGCATCCTGCCTGTCGGCTCCGCTCTCCTGCCTCCCTCCCCCGCCCCCCCCCCCCGCTGCCTCGTTGCCTCCCCCGGCCTCCATCCGCCACCCGTTCCGCGGCCGCTCTGGCCGCCCTCCCTCCCTGCCCCCTCTCTCCCCCTTCCGGCCCCTCCCCCTTCCCTCGCCGCGCCTCCTGCAAGCTCCCCGCCCTCCCGCCTGCCTTCCTTCCTCTCGCTCTCCCGGCCTCCCCGATCTCGCCCCGCCTCTCCGTCCTCCTTCCTCCTCCCCGTCCTCCCGCCTTCCTTCCTCTCTCTCCCGGCCTCCCCGACCTCGCCCCGCCTCTTCGTCCTCTCCTTCCTCCTCGCCCTCGTGCTGCGCTCGACCGCGGTCGCGAGCGGCGGCGGCTGGCCGTCTCTGCGGCCCCCCCTCCCGCTCCGCGCCTGCACGACGCCGGCCCCTCTCTGCCTCGGGCGCCTCCGCGCTGCCGCCCCGCGGCCCCCTCCGCTGCCTCGAGAGGCCGGCGCCGCCGCTGGCACGGCGCATGGCGCAGACCCGCAGGACCTGGGGTCACCAGCCTCGAACGTATCCCTATCCCTAAGATTGACACGCCAGAAGGCGATGACAATCTTAGGGATTCGCCGTCAAAAAATAAGGGAATCCCTAAGATTGGCATCGTGATGAGGAGGTGCCCAGCATAGGGATAGGGATATGTTCCAGGCTGGTAATGGGGGGCAGTGCGGGGGGCCCAGCTGCGCCTCCGCCGGCGTTCTTCGTAGCGAGCTCTGCGCCCGCCCCTTCCCCTGCCGCTGCCCCGCGCTCCCTCCGCCCCTCTCTCCACGTCCCCCTCCCCCCTTTTTTTCGCTCTCCTCCCCGCCCCTTCCGCTCCCTTCTCCTCCCCCTGCCTCCTCCCTCTCTGCCGCTCCTTCCCTTCCCCCTCTCCTTCTCTCCTCTCCATCTCCCCTCCCCCCTTCCCCTCTCCGCCGACGTTGCCCCCCCTCGACCGACGAAACGCCGCCCCTCTGGTGGGCCGGCGTGACCGGGGGCGTCCCGCCGTGCTGTCTCACCGTGGTATCCCGTCGGTGTCCAATCGGTGTCCCGTCGGTGCCCGCGGGCGGTGGCTGGGGGTGTCCCGCCGTGGTGTCCCGTCGGTCTCCCGTTGGTGTCCCGTTGGTGCCCCGTCGGTGCCCCGTCGGTGTCCCGTCGGCGTCCCGTCGGTGTCCCGTCGGTGTCCCGTGGTGTCCCGTCGGCGTCGCGTCGGTGTCCCGTCGGTGTCACCGCCGTCATCGCCATCGTGCTTTTTCGCCAGCATCGCCACTGTTAGCCCATTGCCATCACGCGTTGCCGTCAGCATCGTCGTCTTGCATAGTCGCAAACTCGTGAGCGCATCACCAGCATCGCCACCATCACAATCATCGCAGTTGTCCTCAGTTGGTTTCCCCCCCAAACCTCCTCTCCCGAAGGGTGGTCGTATAAGTATTTCATCGGAGGTGAGCGCGTGAAGCCGAAGTGGAACGGAAAGCCCCTCGCGGGGCAAA